ATGACTTCAGCTGTATTCATCTTGTGATTGTTTGTTCATCTTTATCAGTGACCATTATATCACAGTTGCACTCATTAATGAGGTACTTTACAACATCTATGTGTTCAACAGCACAATGAAGAACAGTCCAACCATTAGTATCACAATATTGTTCAGCCATTATATGATCATTGATGTTCATTACCATACACTTCAAGACATCAAGTAATCCTTTACTAGCTACATAATGAAGAACAGGGACACCATCTTTATCATCTTTATCAGTGACCATTATATCACAGTTGCACTCATTAATGAGGTACTTTACAACATCTATGTGTTCAACAGCACAATGAAGAACAGTCCAACCATTAGTATCGCGATATTGTTCAGCCATTATATGACCATTGATGTTCATGACCATACACTTCAAGACATCAAGTAATCCTTTACTAGCTACATAATGAAGAACAGGGACACCATCTTTATCATCTTTATCAGTGACCATTATATCACAGTTGCACTCATTAATAAGGTACTTTACAACATCTATGTGTTCAACAGCACAATGAAGAACAGTCCAACCATTAGTATCACGATATTGTTCATCCATTATATGACCATTGATGTTCATGACCATACACTTCAGGGCATCAAGTAATCCTTCACTAGCTACATAATGAAGAACAGGGACACCATCCTTATCAGTGACCATTATATCACAGTTACACTCATTAATGAGGTACTTTACAACATCTATATGTCCAACAGCAAGATGAAGAACAGTCCGACCATTAGTATCGCGATATTGTTCATCCATTATATGACCATTGATGTTCATGACCATACACTTCAAGACATCAAGTAATCCTTTACTTGCTACATAATGAAGAAAAGGGACACCATCCTTATCAGTGACCATTATATCACAGTTACACTCATTAATGAGGTACTTTATAACATCTATGTACTTAACAGCACAATGAAGAACAGTCCGACCATTAGTATCAAGATATTGTTCATCCATTATTTGACCATTGATGTTCATGACCATACACTTCAAGACATCAAGTAATCCTTCACTAGCTACATAATGAAGAAAAGGGACACCATTTTTATCTGTGACCATTATATCACAGTTACACTCATTAATGAGGTACCTTACAACATCTATGTGTCCAACAGCAAGATGAAGAACAGTCCGACCATTAGTATCGCGATATTGTTTATGCATTAAATGACCATTGATGTTCATGACCATACACTTTAAGACATCAAGTAATCCTTCACTAGCTACATAATGAAGAAAAGGGATTCCATCTTTATCAGTGACCATTATATCACAGTTACACTCATTAATGAGGTACTTTACAAAATTTGTGTGTTTAACAGCAAGATGAAGAACAGTCCGACCACTAGTATCACGATATTGTTTGTCCATTATATGACCATTGATGTTCATGACCATACACTTCAAGACATTGAGTATCCTTCACTAGCTACATAATG